AAATACAGTAAAAACAGGGAAATTGTGAAATAATATTACAATTTTAAATGAATGTTTTCTATTTTAATATATTTTAAAATGTCATTTATTCCTGTGATGACAGCTGAATTTTCAGCAGCCATTACTCCAGTCTTTAGTGTCACATGGTCCTTCAGAAATCATTCTAATATGCTGATTTGGTGCTCAAGAAACATTTCTTATTTGTATAAATGTTGAAAACAGTTTTTGTGGCATTGTGATTTTTCTGGATTCTTTTATGAATGGAAAGTTCAAAAGAACAGCATTTGTCTGAAATCAAAATATTTGTAACATTAAACTGTCACTTTTAATCAATTTAATGTATCCTTGCTGAAAAAAGTAATACTTTCTTTCAAAAAAAAAAAAACTAATAAATGATGACAGAATGTTTGTTTTTAGGTGAACTATCCCAGTAACTCTTTTCGTTGTTGTTTTTCAGGCACACGGATGGTGAGCTCTGCCTCTCTGCGGAAGTTACTGCAGTGTTGTCCTCAGCTAAAGCTGTTGGACGTGTCCTTCTGCTCACAGGTCGACTCTCGCTTGGTCCAGGAGCTCAGTGGCCTTTTCCCGAATGTGTCCATCAAGAAGAGTTTCACTCAGTAAAACTCGCTGGGTCCTGAGCAGGAGCAGCTTTACAGGACGGTCTTTAAGACCCCGGGGAGAAGGGTGGCGCATGGTGCTGTGAACTTGCTGCCTTGAACTGCACGGAGCTGTGAACTGCCGGTTCGAAGATGTTATAGATGTTTCACTCGCTCTCAGCTTGAATGGTCTCACTATGTATTGAATCTCACACATTTCATCAGACCTCAGTTTTTGATCTTAATCTCAGGGTTTTATTTTTGTCTTCAGAGAGAGACGTTTGTAGTATGCTGTACTTCAGCCGAATGGTTTTGTTTTAAACGTACTTATTCAAGTGTTTCAGTACCAATGTTTTATTTGCTTTGTTAAATGTTGTCAAATCAATGTTAAATATTGTGAAATAGTGTACTATGATTATTTATTGATTGATTATAAATTCAGGGCCACATTGACTTGAATTGTGGGCACAGAAATCTTTTGTGGCAATACCTTGTTTGTGTGAAACTTTGCCCATATCTCCTGTCAATCCTGTTATGCACATGTATATACACAATAGGGCAAATACCAAAATATAAGCTTTTTTTCCTCTATTGCAAAACTTGACGTTTCCTTTTACACAGGCGCATGCTAACCGGTAGATGACATATCCTTGTGCCTTAGTTTTAAAGAGAGAAGTGCTTTGTTTGTTTGCTGGTCGTCTATATTGTGCTATGCTAAATTGTGATTTGCCAAAATCACCCTAAACCAAAGGGGTTTTGCGTTTTTCTTAATACACTTTAATTTTGAAAAAAAAACAAAAAACAGATGGCAATGTACTGTATTTTCTTTAAATGTGTACAATTAAAGTAAAATCAAGGATAAATTGTTTAGTGCTTTTGGTAAAAGTTTTTTTAAATGCCATGTTTTTTTTGTTTTTTTTTGTTTAAAAAAAAAAAAGGTTTTCAATTTGACTTGCCTGTGCTTTACTAGCAGTATAATAATCACACCCTGTAAACAAACTCTACAGTTAATTCGAAGCAACCTAACGCTAAATAGTATTTATGTTAAATTGTACAGTAGCTACAGTGAATTTCTTGTCATTTTGGATATTGTATTAAATTTGTGCTGTTTGGAAGCAGGAGGCTTTTAGCATCATGTCAGATCTGAGAGTGACAGTCGAGGTCTTGGTTCAATAAAGTGAGGCTTAATATTTTGTGGGTTTGTCTTTTTTTGTGATTGTAAGATTATAATAGAATTTATATTATTACTAGTGCCAAATCACACAGATTATGTTTGGCATGTAGTTGATCTATAATATCTCCATCAGTGAGATTCAATAATTTGGTCAAACTGAAAGTCAAAAACTTCCCTAGTCTTAATCCCTCCAAATTTAAGGGCTTATTAATATTGCATCTGGCAGTGACTGTCTCATCGGACTAACAGTGATGTAATGAATTGTTTATGTCTACTTTAATGATGGACTGAGGAGCTCTAATGTGCCCTGAGGACCTGGAGGGATGCAGTTAATTAGATGAAACGATTTCTTGATTTCTATACAACAATTGCTAGTCAGTACACGCAGAAAACTGTCATTACATCCCTGTAAATAGATCAACAGTACAAAGCTGTCTGCCTCTGCTTATGGACCCTGTAATTTAGAAGTGGCATTACACTCCTGCTACAATGGTTTCAGCATCAATATGCGTTTGACCTTTTCTCTGTTTCATATAACTTTTGTAACAGAATCTAGTTTTCAGGAATCTTAACACCTCACATATGCATACGTTTCCTGACATAAAAGCAAGTCTAAAAATTTAACAATTTTGCAGTTAATTTTAACCTTGCGTATATTGTTTTCCAGAACATCCACCTCACATATGCATACGTTTCCTGACATAAAAGCAAGTCTAAACATTTTACAATTTTGCAGTTAATTTTAACCTTGCGTATATTGTTTTCCAGAACATGAACGCCATAAAAAAAATTACTTTTTAAATATATGCAGTTAAAAGATAAGCTGGTGGACATTTAAATATTATTTCCAAAATACAATTGCCAATGTTCGTGTCTCAGCAAAACATAGTTCAGAAAGAAATTAAAAGTTATAATTATCAAACGCTTTTCGTATTTACAGCTAAAGTATGTTTTTGGGGGGAAATCAGGAGCAACTGTGATTCATTTATGATCCATGGTGTGTAACATAAACTGTGCAAATGAACATGGCAGCATGTTTAAGTCAGAGAGCACCGAAGAAACCCCGGAATGCTGAGCTACAAATCGCCATGTGCTGCTGTTGTTACGTTTAATCAATGTTGCTTTGGTGTCCTAGAATAAAATCTCACTAGATGGCACTACAGGATAAGGATGATCGTTTTACACATTCAGGGTATTATAGAGTCAATTCTTGTCTTAAAACGTCTTGTTTTCCCAATATGGAGAAAATTGCATCACTTTGAAACTTTTTTTAAATAGTAGTTGTAATTTATCTCTGAATGGTTAAAGCACTGGGATTTGCACGATTGACTATTGCCTATTTCAAACCTTCCAAGCAAGCAAGCACCACGAAAAACATAAGAGCAACTCTAAAAATTAAATTCAGCTCACTGTTAGTAATCATGACGAAATTATGAAAGCTATTACGAAGACAACGTAATGTTTCACATTATAAGTAAATTTATTTTATGGTTTATTGTTGTCAAAATTATATTAAAATTTGAATTATTTCAAACTGATTGATTGCAAACAATAGCAAAAATAAAAACACGCGAAGTAAATTAATGCCATAAAAGAAGGCCTATATTGAGGCCCACGTTTTGATGCCACAAACTAAGCGACACCCTAAATAATAGTGCTTCATCTGTAACTGGTTCTTTACAAAATCTACGAAATTTAAATCGAACTAGTTTAGATATTCTAAACACTGGCCGTACATTTTTATACTGACTTTACCACAAAAGCCAGCGCGCTGTGTTAAACGCAAAAAAGACAGGAAAGCTTCAGCAACACATCTCAGCGACAGTGCTCAGGGGTATAGCTATATCTTGTTTTTATTTTTGTTATTTTTCTATTTCAGGGAAAATAAACAAAACTTATCTGTTTGCATATGTTGTGGCTTACAAATTTCACGCTCTCAGTTTCTTTTGAGATTGCGCTGACATATCAAACCATTTGAACGTGTGCAGTTTTGTTAATTCTGTTTCACATTTAAAAATTTCGTTTAAAAACTTGACCGAGACGTCGATAAACATAAGCTTCATCCGCATTTTTTATTTTTTTTACACCCGACGACATAAAATGTCAGGTTTGATTCTTCGATTTAGAAAAAAAAAAACATATACTACAAAATCCGATTTCTATCACAACCTCTGCGCATTTTATTATACCCACAAAATCATCCAGTTCAACGTTTGATGGAGTCTTTCTGACAGAGTAAATAAAACAACAAATAAATAGCGCCACAGTATTTGTAGAATTACATGACAGTTTGATCAATTAATCTATGTAAATGTTTCTTTTGAAAAACAAAAAAAGTAGAACGATAATAACAGACTTACCTAGAATTTCTGTGGAATAGATTTACACCAAAATATGAATTAAAATATAAGCAAAATAATACAATAAGAAAATAATAATAATAATTTCTGATTGTTGTATTGTATTTACACATAGTGACGTATAGCAAGCCCCTGGGAGAAATCTTCCCGTTTTTCCAATCCTCCAGTGTTTACATTTTCAGTAAATCATCACTGCATCGTGTCCCTATAAATGCGAACCTGAACCAACACAGTGAAGAACTATAAAGCACAAGAATTTTTTTTTTAAATCTTTTTAAAAAGTATCCTTTTACAGTATACCTCTGATGCTGGGTAAATGTGGAGAATATTTAATAATAATAACAATAATAATAATAGTGCCCGTGAAATTGATATGCTTGATAAATGAAGGAAATATAAAATACACAAAAACGCTTTGTCATATGAAACAATGAAGAATCGTTTGACTTCAAATGAAAATATTGCAGGTCACATCACTTGCTTTTCCCATTCTCCACGATACTGTGTAAATAATCTCTATTTCAAAATAATTAAAAAAGACATTCAAATGTTTGAGATATATAATATTGAATTCGTTGGGTAGAAAATAGTGCTAACATTGTTGGAGACTGAACATTGTTTACTATACATAAACATATAGTAAAGTCAGCTCATAATTTATATTTAAAAAAAAACAGCTGAATGTGGGTTAAAAAGCATCTGACTTCCGAATGAGATAGCAAGCAATATTCGGCTAAATGACTATAAATATAAAGGCAAAATATACCAAGACTCTAACGTTAAAGAAATAAGACAAAAATAAATTAAACAAAAAGCTCTAAAATCTTTTCCAAATTCAAAATAATACGAAAAAGTGCTCAAGTGAGAGAATAACGTAGCTATGTCCTTTAAAAATTATACAATATTTACAGCACTGTGTGGAGTCCTGTGAAACAACTGTATTTTATGGTAATATGACTAGATCGAAGGAAATGCCAGGTTTCTATCACTAGCCCTTCGGTGATTTGTCTGCAGCTCGATGCTGGAAGTTTCTTTTTATGTCTTTTCAATTTAGAGCTATCCGTTGATAAAACGGAGAAAGAGACCAGAATCAATTGTGTGAGACTAATTTCTTGGCGCCACGACTACAACATCTGTTTAGTGTGACCTTGCACCTCACTGTCTCCATGAGTAGGAGAATTGGTACATAACCATGCTGTATGTAAAATAATAATAATAATAATAAAATATTTAAAGGTCTTTTGATCCCAAGAAAATGGTTGAATACTGTGCATGTCACACTGATGTTGTTTTTTCAATCGAATCGATGTTCACCCTCAATCGCCCACAACAAAAGTAAAAATGGCGTGTATTTGTCAAATGCTGCAGCACAAGTCACTTTTCAGGCTAATTCCGCAAAAGAAAATGCAGTGAATGCGTCTAGATGTAAACAACTGGCTATGGGACACCCATGCTCGCGTTTGAGGGACATTTCGCTCGTCTCAAAGTGTTTGATAAATAGAAGGGTTACACCTTAAAACTGCGTCTTTTCACAGTGTTGGGTATTCACAGAACAACCGTTCTCTTTGCTCGCGCGGGAAACGCACGGTCCCCTCTGTTGCAGCAGTACGAATTTTGAGTAACATCGAAGACGTATATAATCTGCTCTCCCACCTCAGTAGTCTAAACCGCAGCTGCTTTCACTTTGGATAGCTCCAACGTGAACGTAATCATAAATGAAGACTGAGGCAGTCAGTATGATAAGATGTGTCCTTGTTTTTGTCTTGTTTTTGTCTTTTCTCACTGAACTGGCGTCTGAACCCCGTGATGCGGCGGCGTGTCTCCGTATACGTCCTCGGTCCCCGGCAGAGGTCCGCCGGGAGGCGTCATCCGTTTCTCTTTCTGTCTTCTGTTACAAAACCAAACCCTCACTACCTCTTTTTCCAACTGCAGACTGTCCGCCAGCGAAGTAATTTCCAACGCGGCTGGCTTTGGGCACTTAAGGAAATGGCTCTCCAAAGCCCCTTTGACGCTTACCTCGATGGAAGTCCTCTTTTTCCGTTTCCTCCCCTGCGCAGCTATCTTGTCCAAGCTCGTGGGGCTGCCAGATGTGGAGTCCGCCTCCTCCAACCACTTGTTCAACAAAGGCTTGAGCTTGCACATGTTTTTGAAGCTGAGCTGCAGGGCCTCAAACCTGCAAATCGTGGTCTGCGAAAACACATTTCCATAGAGCGTTCCCAAAGCTAGTCCGACGTCCGCCTGCGTGAAGCCCAGCTTGATCCTCCGCTGCTTGAACTGTTTGGCGAACTGCTCCAAGTCGTCCGAGGTCGGCGTGTCCTCGTCCGAGTGGTCGTGGTGGCTCTGGTGCGGCTGGTGCTGGTGCTGGGACGGTGGATGGCCGTGGTCGCTGAGATGTGGGCTGTGGTGGTCCTCGTGCGCGTCGCGCATGCTGTGGTGGTGGATGCCCTGGCCGCTGCCCGGGATGAGACCGTTCACGCTGAAGCCGGTCTGCGAGTAAATAAGGCTCTGTCCGTTCGACGTGGCCATGCTGGGGATGTGAGCCGCCGTCGTCGTTCTCCATGCCCTTGAATCGTGATGGTTCCCGTGCGTCTGATGTACCAGATGGGGTGGCCGCGTCTGATGCTGTAGATTGCTGGAATTGTGCATCTCGTCCCGGGGGCTCTGCACCGCTGGCTTGATGTCCTGCTCGCCGAGGGGACTGGACGACCACGGACCTCCTTCTCCGTGTGACAAGGCTGTTATCCACTGGTGCGCGTGGCTGAGCGGGTGACTGTTGCTCTGCAGCGAGTAGTCACTCTGCAACAGGGTTTGCGCGTCCCTGTAAGCCGTGGCTTGCTGCATGCTCCCAGGCTCCGAGTGTACAATAGATGGGCTGGAGGTGAGGATATTGTAATGATTGGATGCTGTAGTCGCCATGACTCTCGGAGCCGGACTGATCACTCCTATTAAAGGAACCTTGCATTTGACAGTTACTCTTTTGCCACAGGCGTCTCCCAGGCTCTTTGCCAAGTGGACGCAGCGGCGCGCACCTGAGCTCCGCCCCCCGACGACGCTCATTGGGTGGAAAGGGATGATGGACGCGTTTTTTGGAGGCAGCCTTCAGTTCATTGGATGCTCGAGAGTCTTAACAAACACTGCCTCTTTCCCTCAAAAGAACTCCGTGTCCTGCAGCACCTCTGAAATGTGAGGGACCGACGGGCCACCAAGACCGGAGCGAAGAACATCAAAGGTTATGCTTTTTATAACTTGCAGAGAATTCATTTCAAACTTCTCTGTTATGGAATTTGCGAGTGTGTGTGTGTGTATGTATGTATGTGTCTTGTTCAATAGAATTTATGCAATAAATTAAAACTATTTTATGTGATGTCATTTCATATTTATTGATTACAGGTTCGGGGATTCATTTGTCAAATAATGGAAACTATCTAATCTTTCTAGCGTGATGTTTCCTGAAAGGTATTTGGACAGTCAACTTTGGATAGGACTTTACGGAGAATTTTCATAGTATTAAAGAAAAATGTTTTGCAGACCACGTTTAAAAAGTATTAACTAATTTGTTTAAAATATCGTTTGTCTCATTCAGGTGTTTGATTCTGAAGAACTCCCACAAAAAAAAAAAAGTTATTTGATGAATAGCCAAGTTTGCTGGCCATCACAGGCAATAACTTTGATGAGTCAAATGATGCTGTATCTGGAACAGATTAGTCTAAGTAAAAATTATGTAACTTCAAAAAAGAAACAAAAATAGTATTTATTCTGAGGCAGATATTTAATTTAACATGTTAACATTCGTTTCTATTACATATTTTAAATAGGCCTATGTAGCCTAACTTTCATCAGTTTTAAAGTGGGTGATATAAGAATAAGAGACATGATATGTTATATTAGGTATGTTGTCATTTTTCTCATTCAGAAATAAAGAGCAGAAAATGTATAAAAAATCTAGCCTACTTCTCTGTAAAGAATAAAATATATATATATATAACAGCCGATGTAAAAGTGTAGGACGCGTACTAAAAAGTGAGTAAAAGGCAGCTTCAGTTAATAAATACGTAAAAAGAAATAATAAAAAAAAAACAGCCTACCATTTTTTATGATTGAAAGAAAGCGAAAAACTCATAATATGAACGGTTTAGATTGAAACGTTCACCTTATCTGATCCCTGAGAGAGAAAAAACAGTAATGCCGATTTGGTTCAAAGAAAAGTTATAACTCACATAGACAGAAGCACATGTATTGCACAGTGACTTTCTGAAAAATGCCATTTATTCGGCGGTATGTTTATTTTACTTTGTCTTATCTAATTTCATAACAACTATAATTATAAATACAACTATTACTCCAAACATCTAATTGGCATTTTAAATATCTAATTACACTTGTCTTTTAGTCAACATCTGCCTATTAAAGATTTAAAATGATATATTTTTCCTCTGGGTTTGCACGGTGTACAAGTCAAAGGAATATTTCAGAGGGAAACAGTGGGCCGTTTGGGACCGCAGGTGTCTAAAGCTGACCAGCTGGCTTCTCTGTGAGCCTCTGTAAAGAAAAGCACACGACATTGTCCGTGGAGGGGGACATTTTTTCAGCAGCTCTGCTGGTTGCTATAGAGAGCAGTAAATTATCGCCTCCTCTGGAAGGCCCAACGTAAATCAGAACGGGTAATGGACAAAAGACAAAAAGAAACAAGAAAGACACAGAGAGAGAGATCAGCTGATTTTAAGGAGCTGTTTAAAAGCAGTAAATAAAGTGTAATTTGCACAACTAATGAACTTTGAAGCAGGGCGTACAGCGTCACTGAACAATAGCCTACATAATAAACAAGGCAGAAAAACCAGTAAAGTCCATAATATAGGCCTTCAATAGCAGTCAACACATTTACCTAAACTATTACAAACTCAGGACGTTTACATCAATGGAAAACTTAATTAAAATATTTTAGCTGCTATAAGGGTTTATGAAATGTAAAAGTGTCATTTTTTTGTGATCATTATGGGCATGCAAACGTTAATTTTGTTTGAAATGGTTAAATTAATTTTTTTCCCAGATGGGACGGGCCTATAAGTCTTCTGAAGTTCTTGTTGTACAGTGTGGTCTGTACGTCTACTTCGTTGATTAAAAAAAAAGATCCTAAAAACAATCCCGAGGCATCCAATAATCAGTTGGGGAAAGCAGGTAAAAGACTCATAAAAACTCTATAAGGACGGCCTAATTGTGGGGTTAAAGGGCGCTGCAAAACGATAAAAAAAGAAAACTTTAAAGACACGTTCCGTAAATTCATCCGCGTAATAATGAACATCATTGTGGCGTAACAGTGAAATCACCCAAATCAAAAGAACATTTATGGCAATTAAGGTTGTAATTCAGAGAATTACCACAACGCCACAGAAGCTTAAATAGTCGTGTTGGGAGAAAACCAAAGCACATTACTTTAATGGTATAATATGCAAACTATGGATCGTTCAATTACATGGCTTAACAACGCATAAATGATGCGAGTCTTGTTATTTGGACTGTGGGGTCTGTGGTAATTCATTTGGAAGGGCCAGCGCGCTCTCAAATACAGTGAAATCTATTTCTGAGCTCCGGGAGACGCTGCCAAACTATTTAAGGGAATAAAAATTAATGACAGAGAATCTGAGCGTTAAATTAACAGTAATTATATGACTCGCATGCTGTAAAGATTCCATTTTTTATGGTCTAATTAGGTAACTGTCTCCCCATACATCAACATATTTCCCTCTGTGGATTTTCACACAAAATCCCGGTCATGTTCAAATACTGATTGAAAATAATTAATTACATTTTACAAAGACATGCTTTAAATCACACAATAATTAAACTCTTCTCATAGTTACGCTAATCAATGACGGATCTTATCACCTGAGACGCAGATAAATATCTTGCCGTATAAAGCAGAAAATAAAAAAATGGGGGGTGGGGTTTCATACAGGTATCTTATATAGAGGTTTCAATAATGTTTTCAGAGGTAGGCTACAATACAAGTTACATTACAAATTAATCTGAGCGTGTACTTTAACTGTTGTCAAACAGACGCTAATAAATTGCAATCGCTAAACCAGGTAACCATAGCAACAGCACGGCAGTCAAGCGCTTTGTTGAGCGGTAAATCCGCTAGTAATGCACCATAAATCATTATTCACATTACAAATTAAAACTTAAGTGTTTGCTAAGTGTTTTCGATAAGCAGCCTTTAGCTTAGGTGCTAGGGGCACCAAGTTAACTATTTTTGTTGCGGAAGAGAACATCGTCATATTGCGCGCTGAAAACGTAGCTATCATTTATTTACATTACGTTTAAAATTTCATTTAAAAATCCTGCATGCACTTTCCAGTATTCCAGAAAAATGCTTATTAGCTATTAATGATAAAAAGGGAATTAAGCAGTGCGCGTGTGTAGGATTGTTTAGGAACTTGTTTAGGATGTGGAGAACCATCTGTCAGTGGGGGTATCCTTATACAGCTCTTGTTGAACAGGTCTTGCACCGAGAATCTAGTAATCCCATGCAATTAATCCACACAAAGACATCGTTAAATCGGTCCCTCAATACAATTGGCTACCGATTGTCTGCATCCATTGTGGGGGGCGCAAGAGACCACCCTGAGGCAAAGTGGAGACCTGTAATGCTATCCATCCACGCAACAAAAGTGACGGCACAACCTACGAGATGAAGAAAAATAATCTACTGTGCTTTATTTTATTTTAGTTTATTTACTTACTCCAGAATAAATAACACTGCCAAATAACACACCGACTGCCTGCATTAATTTGAATCAAGCATCTAAACCTTTAATCGCTTCAACATGCTTTCCAGTGAACAACAGGTTGCGGACTAAACCAAATGTTAAGAATGGCAAAATATCGCGCTTGCAATATTTCATTACATTTTTACACATTTTGGAAACTGATTTAAAAAAACAACAAATTTTTTTTATTAAGATTTTTGCTAATTTAAATATTTATGGTTTATAGTTTAACATAAATGAACAGCACTTAATATGCACTTATGACACATTTAAACATATCAGTCTTCCAAAAAAGCTGTTTTATTCTGGTTAGGTTATTACCTGTCATGTCATGTGAGCCACCATGTTGAAATCACATAAGCGGCCATGCTAATCGCCAAATAAAAACAATAGCAACACATAAGCAAACTTCATGCATCCAGACGGTTAGGAGTCAGTATAAAGGTCAAAACAACTGGTCCTACTAGGAACAGACAGCTAAATGTTAATCAAACTTAATGAGTGCACCTTTAAGGCTGCCATAGTGAAATTCACAGAGTCATATAAAGACATTGCGATGTACAACCCTAAAAAAATGTCTCTCAAGTGGCAACAAGTTACTTAACAAACAGTGTATGCCTATGTCTTTTCTATAGGTGCATCTGGTTAGGCTATCTTTACAAAATGAGACTAGCTGAGAGTAGATCAGCTGGGCAAACTTGTTGACAGTTGTAATGCGCCTAAATTTCAATTAAGGCATTGTAGGCAGGTTGCCTACCTGAGATGCCGGGTCTATAGACTCCTCTCGATCTGTATAGAGATGTGAATGAGCTTCTGGTCCCATCGCTCATTTGCAGCTCGATTAGCCCCACGTGTCTCGTTCTTCATATGTGGAAGTGCAGCAGATGGTTGGAGACGCACCGTGTTACGAGGCTGCGGCGGTATGTAACGCTGTTCTAAATGAAACATCAATATTGCAGCAGAACCCCGCAGTGGAATAACACTGCAAGTTTGGACAACGATTACAGATGAAAGTTCTCTTGGAAATTACATCTGGGAACAGTTTCTGTGTAAATCGCCTTATGATCCTAAATGTAGCGTGGATATGTAAGCACGGGTTATCAGCCTACCTAACACCATAAAATAATCATCATGGTCTGGAATGCTTTTAATAGTAACACTTTTAAAGAAGTGAGTGAAGAAAAAAAAATAAGATTATGTAAATTAGTGACATACAGTAAGGAGTTATTTTTTG